TAGCGGGACTGGCCTGAGGGATTTTAAAGGGGGTTTTAATTACTTTTAAATTGGACATATTTAAATATTTCGTTTTAATCAAATTTTAATTAAGTATATGTATATATGTTAGTATTTTATTCAATTGTCAGCCGCCCTGAGTCCGTAAGGAGAAGGGCGGGATATAAATGCAATTAATAAATAAATAAATAAATAAATTCTAATTTTTTCCTTCAAGTGCTCTCTTCTGGTTATTCTGCCCTAGTTGATCCTTATGACAAGGGAAAGAAAACCAAAGCCAGTTGAGGGGACAGCTGCAATTGGGCACTGTAGATTCAGCAGGTAAGAAATGATTACAGTACATTTTTTACTAACAATTTCGTACTCTTGAGGATTTGTCTGACACACTGGATTACTTCTAAACTTAAGTTTGCCTTGAAGTATTGAAGGTAGGTTTTGCTTCCCCCTTTTTTTAGTCATGAAAGCCAAGCCAGCTGTGTGTTTGTGTGTGTGTGCCACAGCGTGCATCTATGTAGGAGGAAGTACTTTATGAGTCAGTTACATCCTGTGTTAATATTTATTGAAGATAAAGTTGCTAGGAAGGATCATGAATGAAAGCACAGCTAATTGCCAGCACTGTGCTGATATTGTTTAGCTATACTCCTTTTTTATGAAAACGCAACATTTTTAATCAGATAGAAGTTTAAGTAGTTCATTAAATAATATATAATACAGTAGGATGCATATAATAAGATTCCCACCTTTTTATATTTCCATGAATAATTCCAAACTGATGTAAATGCTGAATGGCTTTAATTAATCCCAAAGATATTCTGGTGCGTTTCTCCCAAGTTAATGCTTCAGAATTATCCTGCAACAAAAGAAAAAAATGTGTTTTTTTAAAAGATGACTGTTGAGCAATGAACGACAAAACACTCTCATGTACTGCTCTGCTGCCACATATTTTTCAGCTTTCTCGAACCTGATATTGTATTGGATTGCAACTACCAGTACCATCATCTCCATGAGGATTGGGGATAGAAATTGTAGTTCAATCTATTTGGGGGATACCAAGCTCTGGAAAAGCATCTATACTTTCTTCAACTATACTATTTTCATATGATCAATTGTTTGAAACTGGAGCTGGTTGATTAAGTAAGAACTAAACCCATCTCCTCATTCTCCATGAATTGGGCTGCCTCCTTCTCTATCTTGTGTCAATGACTGTATTGTGCTTGTATTGTGATTTTATTGGGTATATTTATATTTGATGATTTTAATGTTTTTTATTGTATGCTGCCCAGAGTTGCTTTGAAACAAGATGGCTGGCAAATAAGTTTTAAATTAAATTAAATTAAATTAAATTAAATTAAATTAAATTAAATTAAATTAAATTAAATTAAATATTAAATTAAATTAAATTAAATTAAATTAAATTAAATTAAATTAAATTAAATTAAATTATTAAATTAAATTATTAAATTAAATTATTAAATTAAATTAAATTAAATTAAATTAAATTAAATTAAATTAAATTAAATTAAATTAAAGATCAAGCACAGGCTACTGTCTAAACACAACCAGATTTTCAGTGCTACAGTATCCACTGGGTTAGAGTGAGGAAAAAAATTATTTGATCTCCTGCTGATTTTATACATTTGCCCACTGACAAAAAAATGATCAGTCTATAATTTTAATGGTAGGTTTATTTTAACAATGAGAGGCAGAATAACAACAAAAAAATCCAGAAAAACACATTTCAAAAAAGTTATAAATTGATTTGCGTTTTAATGAGTGAAATAAGTCACAAAACATGACTTAGTACTTGATGGCAAAGCTCTTGTTGGCAATCACAGAGGTCAGATGTTTCTTGTGGTTAGCCACCAGCTTTGCACACATCTCAGGAGGGATTTTGTCCCACTCTTCTTTGCAGATCCTCTCTAAGTCATTAAGGTTTCGAGGCTGATGTTTGGCAACTCGAACCTTCAGCTCCCTCCACAGATTTCCTATGGGATTAAGGTCTGGAGACTGGCTAGGCCACTCCAGGACCTTAATGTGCTTCTTCTTGAGCCCCTCGTTTTTTACCTTGGCCATGTGTTGTGGATGATTGTCATGCTGGAATACCCATCCATGACCCATTTTCAATGCCCTGGCTAAGGAAAGGAGGTTCTCAACCAAGATTTGACAGTATATGGTCCCATCCATCGTCCCTTTATGCGGTGAAGTTGTCCTGTCCCCTTAGCACAAAAACACCCCCAAAGCATAATGTTCCCACCTCCATGTTTGATGATGGGGATGGTGTTCTTGGGGTCATAGGCAGCATTCCTCCTCCTCTAAACACAGTAAGTTGAGTTGATGCCAAAGAGCTCGATTTTGGTCTCACCTGACCACAACACTTTCACCTGGTTCTCTGAATCATTCAGATGTTCATTGGAAAACTTCAAACGGGTCTGTACATGTGCTTTTTTGAGCAGAGGGACCTTGCAGTCCTTCACAGCGTACTGTGTTACCAATTATTTTCTTGGTGACTATAGTCCCAGCTACCTTGAGATCATTGACAAGATCTTCTCATGTAGTTCTGGGCTGATTCCTCATCATTCTCATGATCACTGAAACTCCGTGAGACGAGATCTTACATGGAGCCCCAGATCAAGGGAGATTGATTCAATAAAACACAAAGAAGGTAAAAACTTATTAGTGTGGTTGACAATAGTGGAAGAGTGGTTGGACGAACCGCTATCAGAACATCAGGTAAGGTCGGAACACATCCTGATGTTAGAACAGGAACTGTAGGAACCTGTCGAGAAACTGGAACCGGAACCACCTCTCAAACCTTAGACTAACTAACGAAGACACCTGTCAAGTCTTTTATACAGGTAACAAGCAGAGATTAAAAACACTCCCTTTAAGAGAGTGCTCCTAATCTCAGCTTGTTACCTGTATATAAGACACCTGGGAGCCAGAAATCTTGCTGATTAATAGGGGAACAAATACTTATTTCATTCATTAAAATGCAAATCAATTTATAACTTTTTTGAAATGCGTTTTTCTGGAATTTGTTGTTATTCTGTCTCTCACTGTTAAAATAAACTTATCATTACAATTATAGACTGATTATTTTTTGTGAATGGGCAAATGTACAAAATCAGCAGGGGATCAAATAATTTTCCCCTCACTCTATCACTGCAACCAAGATATTTTTGAAAGGGTTAGGGAAACAAATTCTCGAGGCTAAACAATAGATAGAGTCAAATTGATGCTTCTGACTTGGGAGTGACTGATTCCTCATTAGCTCTTTGCCTTCCTGCTAGTGATACAGCCAAGGCACCTTTTCCCCTATCTCTGCAACCTCACATCAGCCTCAGTGAGCAATCTCAGGTTTTCCAAATGTTGTTAGTTGGCATGTAATTCCCATAATCCCTCTCATGATGGTTGAGCTGACTGAAGTGCTTTCTTTTGATAGATGTTGTACGCAAAAATGCATGCTTGTTACTTACCTGACACTGTAGCCTGTCCAGTAACGATCCATTTTCCATGTAGGGGTAAATCAAGGAGTGAAGTCCACTTTCCACACATAAACCCAACAACTGTAGAATATTAGGATGGCAACATCTAAGAGGCATTTGAAGAAATTATATTTATTCATTTATTACAATTATATCTCATCACAATCCCACAGGACACTCAACAATTTCCAAGAATTCAAACATTATAACATACACAATACAACGAGATCTAAGAAACATAAAACTCAAAAATCCAAAAAGACCTGGTTGAGGGAAAGGTTCTTCCAGCCCTTTCCTTCAGATGGAGCTGAGGGTCAAAAGAGGAGAAGAGTTACGAAGCCTAGCTAGGAACAAACAGGCAGAAAAGGCAAATAATAAGCAAAGATCTTGATAGAACAAGAATAGAAAACTGAAACAAACAAAAAATATAAAAGAGAGATTGAACTCTATACAAAAAGAGTATAGATCTATAAAGAGTAGCAATACATATATATAAGACAAAAGATATATAGAGGTCAGCAATAAATATATTACAGATATAAAACTGATTCAAAGACGTGAACTGAACTTTAAACAATATGGTGTAAAGTAAAAGCCTATAGATAATAGTTAAAATAGTATATACTGTAGTTTTAGCAATAAGATACTAATTTCTGAAATAGTTGAAGGCATTTAATGTTTACAATTGGGGGGGGGATAAGCTTTCCTTGTTTGTAAAATCTCCAACAGCCACTGAAGGAAGATGTAAAAGCAAAATAAAGCAGCTCTTTTCTAATACTTATTTGCCTCTTTATTGATAAACTCAATAACTGAATTAATTATATAGATATGCACAGTTTTCATAGAGATCTAATCTAATCCCCACTAAAAGAGTTGTTCAACTACTTACCGAAAGCAGATTTGCAATTCTGTACGAAAAAATACTTGTGCCTCATTCTGGAATAAAGAGAATCCTATTATTTTTCTGAACAGCAAGTTCATATTTACACATATTAGTATATACCAGTGATGGCGAACCTTTTAGAGACCGAATGCCCAAAAACTGGCCCCGCCCCTGCTCCACCCGCTGCCCCGCACCCACCCCACCTGCCCTCAGGGCCACTCACCACCTCCAGGGCCCACCGCAGATCACCCAGCAGCGCCATGGCAGCCATGCCCTCTGCCCACACCCTGCAGCATCAACTGTGTGCGATGGGACATGAGGGCAGAGTCTTGTCTATGCTGCCTGGCTGTCATGTCCTTGGCTGCACTGCTCTGCCTGGGCCACGCTCGGGGGCGACTCTTCTCCAGGAGGGCTGCTGGTGAGGAGGGGGTCACAGGGGGAGGCAAGGCTGGGGAACGGCATGTGTGCCCCCAGAAAGGGCTCCGAGTGCCGCCTCTGGCACCCGTGCCATAGGTTCACCACCACTGGTATATACGGTATATACTAGCCATTATCTTAAACCTATTCGAATCTATTAAACTCAAAATGACAATCGGAATTGCAGGAGCAGAGGCTAGTGTGTTTATTCTGCTATACCCAACTGCATCAGTAGTTCAAGCTCCAAGAACTCTCTGCTAACATGCTAACACATTGCATTTCACTAACATTATCTGTACAGAATGAAATCACATAATTATTATATCTGCATTTTCAACAATATAACAATGGTTGGAAACTGATCAAGGAGAGAAGCAACCTGGAATTAAGGAGAAACTTCCTGACAGTGCGGACAATCAACCAGTGGAACAGCTTACTCCCAGAAATCGTGGGTGCTCCATCACTGGAGATTTTTAAGAAGAGACTAGACAATCACCTGTCTGAGATGGTATAGGTTGTCCTGGACTAGAAGACCTCCAAGATCCCTTCCAGCTCTGTTCTATTCTATTCTATTCTATTCTGTTCTGTTCTGTTCTGTTCTGTTCTCTGTTCTGTTCTGTTCTCTGTTCTGTTCTGTTCTATTCTATTCTATTCTAATTTTAAAAGAGAAGTTCTTTTTTGCTTCTGTATTTTTAATTCTACTATTTTAAACCAAACTGATTTACTGATTTAACTGGGAAGCTAATTGAGATCTATATTTATATTGTATTAAATTTGTATAAACAATTTATATCGCTTATAGAAAAGATGGTTAGAAAGTGACAAGACCTTCATATCTTTCTCTCATCACCATAAATAGGTTCAACATTTAATGCTATTTGGTTCCAGTTCAATAAAATTAACCCCCTTATAATAATCCAAGCCTACTTATCTCAACTCCTAACAATAACTGGGGATCCAGATTTTTGAACTTGTCCTCTCTTGCTAAACTTGGCTTTGTCTTAGCCAGTCTGGGTTCAAGGCAGATAAACAAAAGATGCCCTATGAAATTATTGCAGACCTTTTCTAAAGTATGGGAGATGTCCACCAAGAATCTTCTTCCAAAAACACAATGCTAGGGATGGGAATGGCAGTGCCAGGAATCCAATATGGCTATATAGAGGCCCTCCTATTGTTAACCAGCTTTGCACATGCCTTTCTCATTTTGTTCAATTCATGAGATAAATGAAGACAGACACTTACCTCTTTTAGTTTTTTAACAACATAGTGAGCATTATCTCTCTGAGCTCTGTAAGTAGTAGCAAAGACGCTTTCACTAATTTGGTTTTTTTCACTGAAGCCGCTAGTGGCAATTTCCACTTCCCTTGGCATCCACAAAAGGCTTGCAGTGTCATGATTAGGAGAAGCTTTCTCCTGAGGAATGGATGAACTATAGAGCTATACATTTAAGAGAAAAGACATGACTGATATTTTGGTAAACACCAGAAAAAGTACTTTCAATCCCAAGTCACACCACAGGCTATCATTCCAATACAACTACACCTAATTCTGGTTACTAGAACTAGAATTGCCTACCAAAAAGTGTACATTTCAATTTGATTTGATTAGCGGTATCAAATATGCTAGGGAAACAGTAGAATCAGTTCTTTGCTATAATCCTGTACATTCACAATGTCTTTCAGGTGGTTTGGGGGAGGAGGCGTTATGGCCACCTTAACCACTTAAGTAAGAAATATTGCAGAAGCATAATTTTTATTTTGATTGGGTATGCTCAGCTTTGTTGCTTTTTGTTGTTGTTGTTAATTGCGAAGTCGTGTCTGACCCATCGCGACCCCATGGACAACATTCCTCCAGGCCTTCCTGTCCTCTGTCATCTTCTGGAGTCCTTTTAAGCTCAAGCCTACTGCTTCAGTGACTCCATCCAGCCACCTCATTCTCTGTCGCCCCCTTCTTCTATTGCCCTCAATCTTTCCCAGCATTAGGCCCTTCTCCAGTGAGTCCTTCCTTCTCATTAGGTGGCCAAAGTACTTGAATTTCAACTTCAGGATCTGGGCTTCTAAAGAGCAGTCGGGGTTGATCTCTTCTAGGACTGACCGGTTTGAATGCCTTGCAGTCCAAGGGACTCGCAGGAGTCTTCTCCAGCACTTCAAAGGCCTCAATTCTTTGTTGCTACCTTATTTGAAAGTTGGGTGGTGGTTTTTTGTGATATATTATAAAACCTTAGAAGTTTGAAGATATGACATGATATGTTACTAAAAACTAATATAATACCTTCTTATTTATATTTTTCCTTTATTATTCTCTTGGGTCTTTTTTCTATTTCAGCTGCCAGCTACTAATAGGCTTTGTTTTGTAACTCTAAAGTTGTATATCTTCAGAATGCCACATATTTGGATACTATTTCCTGGAATGGATAAATATATTCAGTCCTGAATATATGGATAGTTTTTCATACCATTAGACTGGCAATTGGCTACGTTTATGTATGTAATGATTGACACATTGATAATTATTTAATTTCTTAATTGCATTTTAATACCAGATTCAGATCCAAGATGTTTGTAGGATTTACTGCCTCAAATAAAGAATAATTTAGCTGAACTGCAAGATTTTGGAAGAAGTGTTATATTGTTGCTTAACTTTTTTTGAAAAAAGCTGGGATCCAGGATTTTGATTTGATTGCTGCTTTAAATTCCAGCATCTTAACTGTTATGCTTTATTTTGCCTCTTGCATAATAACCCTATCAAACAATTGATCTCTAATGAAACATTTCTCTTAGTTGAACAAAATATTTAACAGAGATCGTTGCTAACTATGCACAGAATTATTTTTATTGATAGAACTGTAGCCGATAATACTGATAACAGCATTTACTGTATATTTTGAATTAATGTTATTAATATGTTTTACTATCTGTATGCTTAAGCAATATATTTTACTGACTGCAGAATATTTTAGCTAAATGCAAACAGTTTAAAATAATGTAAGTTTTCCTGGTCTTTACCTTTCCATTTGAGAAATCTGAGAAATTTGAATGTAAAGAATGTGGGAGATCCATAGAAGTTGGCGGTAGAGATAAAGGAGGTATGTGTGAATCTACTTTTAAAAAAGGATCTGAAAGTAACAAAAATGAAATACGTTAGAGCCTACTTCTGCAGTTTTAGTCACATAAGTGTTAAATTTGTTTCATTCCAAATATCTGTACTCAGTGAAAATTAAAACAATTATAAATCTTCTAGCATTTTAAAATTGGGTTGCAGACTCTAGTCAATTGTGGCTGATCTTGACAAAGCTATGTAAGACTGCATTTAGACAGGAGGCTACTAAGGAATTCTGGCCTGTAGGCTACACTGGGGACTTGATGAAACATCCTGGAAGAAAGAAATAGCAAATTCATTTTTTGACTATTGTAAATAAAACTATGTGACTCTGTTTACATAGTCATCAGAGGTTGAGTTCAACTCAATGGAGACTTTACTTCTTTGTGGCAGAAAGCAGCTCCACTCATCCTGGAGCTTTCCAGATGTCTGGAGTTCAAATTTCAATTATCCATTTAATGTTGCAAGCCACGTAGACTCGCCTTGTGGCGGGATGGACAGCAAACAAATTTAATAAATAAATACATCCATAGACAGTATGTCATGCTAGAATTTATGGGAATTGAAATCCATTATATTGGGCATATATAATATGAGGCAAATTGCCCTAAGTTTGATTTATTGCTTAGTATTATGCATGATGCATGAGTCTAATCACTCTCCTGCACCGCAGGAAACAGATGAATTTGTATGATAATGATTGTGCAAGATAAGCCCAACAACTATCAACCTCTAGTGTGGAAATGAGATTAATTTATTTTGATTGAATCAAGAAAACAAAATATTACATTTGATAGCATATTTAAGAAATAAGACTTCGATCTGCACATCTGGCAAGAACTATGGGCAAGGAATAAGAAGCTTACTCTGGCCACCTCTTACAAAGAAAACCTCTACAAAATGTTTTACAGATGGCATCTCCCGCCCATAAGATTAACTAAAATGGGTCCCAACATTTCTTCTAAATGTTGGAAATGTAATCTGGCAATTGGAACATACTATCATATGTGGTGGGAGTGCCCGCGAGCTTGTGATGTTGGACTAAGGTTAAAGAATGGTTGGAAGAAATACTAGAGCAAGTGGTAGAGTTAAAACCAGAATTTTTCCTATTAGGTATAACAACGCAGAAGTATGACAAAGGCATACTCTACTTGATGCTACACATCCTAACGGCTTCCAGATTGGTTTATGCTCAAAACTGGAGGAATAAGGGAATTCCAACGGAAGAAGAAATCCTGTATAAAATTTTATCATGTGCAGAGATGGACAGGCTTACA